GAGGCTTTCATTCTGGATTTATTTTAAGGTAAACTTTAAGTGTAACATACATACAGAAAAGTGTGCACATCTTTAAGCATATTTCTTTATGAATTAACACAGTTGTTACCTCTGTGCCTACCATCCAGATCAAAAAATGGAATATTATCAACATCCTAGAAGCAAATCTCTCTGGGCTTCTCCTAATCAATATCCTTTACCTCATCAACAAAGGGAACAGTCCTCATTCCTAACATTATTGGTCATTTTTGTCTATTTTTGAACCTTATATGTATGAAATTGTAGTGTACATATTCTTTATTGTTTTTGGTTTTTGCCTTTAATATATTGATCATGAGATTACCTTATGGTGTGTAGCAGCAATTTCTGCATTTTTCTTACTGGACAGCATTCCTTTTGCATGATATTTTATGTGTGTGATTGTATCACAGTTTATCAGTTTGCTGTTTGTTGATGGACATTTGTTTCTTTTTTGGGGCCACTGTAAATGCTGTGGTTGGAAACAGAACTTTTTTCTTCCTTCCTTCCATCAGTCCTTCCGTCCCTTCATCCCTTCTTCTGTCCTTCCTTCCGTCCTCCCTCCCTCCCTCCCTCCTTCCCTTCTTTCCTTCCTCTGTCACCCAGGTTGGAGTGGTGCACAATCATAGCTCACTGCAGTCTCAACCTCCTGGGCTCCAGTGATACTCCAGCCTCAGCCTCCCAAAGTGCTGGGATTATAGGTGTGAGCTATAACCTGGCTGGAACGTTTTTGCTCAGGCCCAGAGGATGCTGTTATATAATTCTCTATTTTTCCATATCTGAAATATTTCTTCCCTCCACCTCAGGCCCCCGAGTAGCTGGGATTACAGGTGCATGCCACCATGCCTGGCTAATTAAAAAACATTTTTTTTTTTTGTAGAGACACTATGTTGCCCAGGCTGGTCTCAAACTCTTGGGCTCAAGCAGTCTTCCTGGCTTGGCCTCCTAAAAGGCTGGGATTACAAATGTGGGCCACGGTGGTTGGCTGAAATATTTCTTTTAAAAAACTATTGTGTGTGTTTGTGTGTGTGAGACAGAGACCACACGCACATGCAGAAAGGAGCGAGGCTGGGGGTGTCAGGGGCCCTGCCAAAGGACAGGGTTACAGATCCCCCACATCGGAAAATGTGGGCGCAGCCTCGTGGAAGAGGATTGCTCCAGCGAGTGTGACAGAACACTGCTGCTGGCAGCCACCAGCAGGAGCTGCTTTGGGAGGAAGAGTTCTTCTCCAGTTTAATTATGAATTTCAGGGAAGCGAGTCATGATCCTTTCCAGGCTGCTGTGCTGGATGGAAGGATGCCACTGGGAAGCCGCCGGGCATGGGAAGTATGCTGAGGGGAAGGGGTGAGGGACTGTGCACAGCCTGTGACCTCTGCGAGGGCTGCGTATCACCATACAATGCGAGTGTCAACACTAGAGATTTGGGTTACACGTCTCGTCGGTCCCCCAAATCATTTATATCTGCACTTGGAAAACAAGTGCTTATGGTGAAGTTAGACAGAACTAGGGTGTCCCACATCCTGGTGTTCCTGGGGCAAATTAGTTTATACCTGTTTTCCTGGCACTTGTTAAAGCACCCCCTTTTACTCCCAGAAATGTCTTCCTTTGTATCACAAATTATACGACCACCTACTTAGACACAGTGACTGAGGCTCTGTCACTTACATGCACTGTGACCTGGGACACGTCGCTGCAGCTCTGAGCTTCATTTCCCACATCTGCCGCACAGGGTTGTGGTAAAGATGAAAGGAGGCAGTGGGTGCAGGGCCCTGAGCCCCGTCTTGACTCAGGAGAAGGACTCAGACTGTAAGGCCTTTACACTTTCTCTTTCCTCCATTATCATTGGAGATAGACTTTTCTTCAGACTGTGACGATAAACTGTGAGAGTCAGAGACAGCAGAATCTGGGAAGTTGTGCATTTTTCTATCTTACGTCTTTAAGAATTTGTTTTACTTTCCTGGGATAGAAAGAGTAATTCGTTGTTCGGGCTTCCCTTACAGTTCTACTGTCAGTGCAGAAGCTAACAACAGCATTTGAGATGTGAAGTCACCATCAGTTAAGGAGAGTTGGGCTTCAGTGTCCCAGTCCGTACTTTAGGGGTGTCATTAAGAAATCCTGAGACATGTTAAGTGTGTATAAGGTGACCACACAGTCTACTTGTTTATGTCTGTTGTCCTCGTGTAATTATGAATAGCATTCTTTTTCCTTCTCATGAGTGTCTCAGTTAGGACAGTAAGTTATATGATTACCCTAAATAGGATCCTTGGAAGCCCATCCTCAGGTGAGAAGTCTTAGACTAGAAACAAGGCAAATATCCGTTAACAGGGGAATGAGTAAATAAACAGTGGCATATTCCTAAAGTAGAATACTATTACATAACAATGAAAATGATTGAAGGATAATTATGTGTGTAAACATGGATAAAACTAAACAAATCCTTGATGAAAAAGCAAGTTATGGAAGAATACCTGCTATTTTCATTGACATAAATTTAGTAAAGGAAAATTAGATGATTCATTGCTTAGATATGCATATGTATGTGAGGAGAGTATGAAGAAAAACAAAGGAGACCGGGCACAGTGGCTCACGCCTGTAATCCTGGCACTTTGAGAGGCCTAGGTGAGCAGATCACTTGAGGTCAGGAGTTTGAGACCTAGGCAACATGGCAAAACCCTGTCTCTATAAAAAAAAAATACGAAACTTAGCCAGGTGTGGTAGCGCATGCCTGTAGTTCCAGCTACTTGGTGGGCTGAGGCAGGAGAATCGCTTGAACCAGGGAGGTGGAGGTTGCATTGAGCCGAGATCGTGCCACTGCATTCCAGCCTGTGCAGTAGAGCCAGACCCTGTCTCAAAAATAAAAAATTTTAAAAAATAAAGAAGAAAAGGAAGAATTAATTCAAGATTCAGATTGCTGGTTACCTGTGTATTAAGGTTGGGCACCTGGAATCATAGAAGGATGCACAGCTTCAAAGACTGGTTTTATTCTATTTCTTAAACTGTGGAATCGGAATGTAGGTATTTTGTTATTCTTTTATTTAAAATGTGGATACATGTTATTTACATTCTCTTGATTTCTTGGAATATTTCACAAAAAATATGCCCAGAATAAAATGGAACTAAAATAAGATATTGGATGGTATCAGATGTTCTACTTTTTATGCATGTTTGTTGTTTGGGGTGATTGTTCATTGTTGAGTGAGTTTAGGGAGAAGGTAACTAGACTTTCAAGCTCTGGACTGAGGTGACAAGGAGACTCATTTGCTAGTACCTTTAAATCATTAAATCAATCTTGGCCATTACAGGGAGAACATTTGGTTTTGTTTCTACTACTGGTATCATTGCAACTAGTATTGCTAAGGCATTGATGTTCACTGAGCAAAGATTTTTCTACTTCCTTAACATGTATTATGTCTTTTAATTCTCAAAAAAATATGCTGTGAGCTAGATTCTACTGTTACATCCATTTTACAGTTAAGGACGATGAAGCACAGAGGGATTAGGAAATCGACACCGGCAGGGTCTGCCTTGGGAATGCAGCCTTCACTGCCTGCTCCGCCGCCACGGTGCCTCCAGGGCCCAACCACAGTGAAATGTGAAATCCAATCTAACCCTGACCGAGGTGCAAGCAGACACGTGACATTTTCAGAGTTCTGCAAATGGGTTTCGCCCCTTCCTGTTTTTGAGGAGGGCATTTCTGTCAGGTTCCACCTGCACCATGTCTCAGTTGCCAGCGAGTTCCTGGAGCTCAGTTAACAGGATGGCTCCCCTGGTGACCCTGCTGAGATCAGTTTCCAGCCCCTGTACAGGCTGGTGAGGGAAAGGCTGTCTTCTGCACAGCACGTTTCTGTCTGCACCTCGGAGTGCTCTTGACCTGACCGATTTGGACTTAGTTTTTATACATGAGTGGGAGGGGGCAGACCTGAACAGTCCTGGGTGAAATTTCAGTACTTCTTCAGTTCAGTCCACAGACTTAGTATGGTTAGCTTAAGAAAAAATATGCGTTAACAAAAGAAAAAAGGAGGAAGCCTTGTAGATGGAGGGAACTAGATTTCAGCTGAGGGCGGTGGCAGGCAGGCAGGCAGGCAGGGGGCCCCTCAGTGGAATAAAGCGTTGGCTTGTTGCATCACCTCACTGTAGATTACAGAGGACACTACTGTGGCAGCTGTCATTTGCCACAAAGCCGCGACTCTTTCTTTCCTTGTTAGCAAAACCAGGCAGAGGTCACTTAAACTCAGGAAAGGTGGGCTTTGCTCCAGGTTCTAAGGGCAGACAGGTGAGTGTCTTCTGGTTCATGAGATGTAAGGGGAAGTTGGTTGGGGGGGGGCTTCTGGGAGAAATTTTTTTTCCTGCATAAGAGGGAAGTAGAGGAGGAGAACCTCTGCTTCCTGTGCTCTGCTTTGAATGCAGCCGTGCTAAGATGTGATGCTTGGTACTGCTGCAGCCATTTCATGACTATGAGGAAGACCAAGAGAGTCACAGAGATGCCAACCCTGTGTGCCGCCATCATCGAGTCCCCCCAAAGCTTCCCTGGAACTGTCTTCATTCAGATCCCTTGTTATGTGAGAAAATGGACCCCTTTTCATGGAAGCTGCTGTTAGCCATATTTTATGTTATTTACAACAACAAAAATGTTTTTAAAAGTATTTATCCCTTATTGACTTCTTGTGAAAATAAGGGAGAATTATATAAAATGTGTATATTATATATGACATTAAATATATATAATATTATTTTATGTTTTTACATATTTTATATATTTATATATGTATACTTATACACAAATTATATACATTAAAATATATAAAATAAAAGGATATAAATGATATATAATTATATATAATATACATTATATATATAATTTTATTTTTTAAATCTTATTTTAAGTTCTGGGATACATGTGCAGAATGTGCAGGTTTGTTACATAGGTATACACATGCCATGGTGGTTTGCTGCACCCATCAACCTGTCATCTAGGTTTTAAGTCCTGCATATATTAGGTATTTGTCCTAATGTTCTCCCTCCCCTGCCCCCCACCCCCTGACAGGCCCTAGTGTGTGCTGTTTCCTTCCCTGTGTCCATGTGTTCTCATTGTTCAACAGGGAGAATATATTTTTAAACATGTTTGGAACAAAGTAGATTCATAATAGTAGTTGCTGTCATGATTACCGCCATCATCACCATCATCCCCAGGTATCACCATGGGCTGGTCAGACGTGTGAAAGTGGCAGAAGAGAAGAAATGTTGAAGGCTTTTGTTTCTTTCTTCAATACACCTTGCCTCTTATAAGAGGCTCTGCAAGGTATGGTGGGGGTACCTGAGATAGGGGAAGGGGCATTGGAGATGGAAAGGAAGTGGAAGGAGTAGAAAAATGCTATCAGAGGGGAATCAGGTGAGCAGAATAGACTCAGGTCTTGAACTTACTGCTCTCACATCTTATTTGCCTGAAATACGTTCAGTTATCCAAGGTCCCTCATGTCTATTTTTTATGAGCATTTATGACTTAAAAACACTATTAATGCGTACACTCTTAAAATCTTAATGGCTGTTCCTTTAAACTGGTGCCCAGGGAAAAGTGCTTTTTGACACAACAAACATTTCTGGTAGAGAATTATGATAATGAGGCAGTCTTTATTTTCAGCTCCCAATTACCTTTCAATGCAGTTGCCATCATTAAGCCACACTTGCATTTAGTGTGCTGGAAGTTGGAGAAATGAGTGCATTACCATCAAAGCATGAAGGGCCAGTGCTTTGCATAATCATTGCAGAAACCATGGGTTGGATTTGGCATCTGTCACTCTCACCCTGCAGTTCCCTGTTTGGAATTCTGCCCAGGCAGCATTCAAGTGACTGGTTTTAGTCATTTTCAAACCCTGGTGTGGACTGCCTAGTCACTCACAGTTGCTCTTTCTTCATTGCACATTTTTGTTTTAAACAGATTCCCTGTGATGATTCTACATTTGCCAAAATAATAAGAGGAAGGACACTCTTCACTTGCTTGATACTGCAGACAAAGTGGACACTGTGAACATCACCATGGGTGGGAGGAAGGCAGAACCTCCAACTGGTCCTGATTGGTGATAGTAAAATGGAGACACTGAGACCCTGACCCTCTTGAGAGGTAAAGGGCGAGTTCTCCTTTCTCCTGCAGAGCTTGTCGTGTCTCAGCCAGGGGAGGAGTTGGTATGAGAACATGGGAAGAAATGGGTGAGGTTGTGAATGGGAGTTCACTGTTAGGTCTGTAGGCCAGTCCTGAAATGAGGAGGATCTGTTAAAAATGCCTATCAACTGCCGGGCGCGGTGGCTCACGCCTGTAATCCCAGCACTTTGGGAGGCCGAGGCGGGTGGATCATGAGGTCAAGATATCGAGACCATCCTGGTCAACATGGTGAAACCCCGTCTCTAGTAAAAATACAAGAATTAGCTGGGCATGGTGGCGCGTGCCTGTAATCCCTGCTACTTGGGAGGCTGAGGCAGGAGAATTGCCTGAACCCAGGAGGCGGAGGTTGCGGTGAGCCGAGATCATGCCATTGCACTCCAGCCTGGGTAACGAGCGAAACTCCGTCTCAAAAATAAATAAATAAATAAATGAAAATGCCTATCAACTGGTACACAGTAGCACTATCCCACAGAAGGGCTGAGGGCCACAGTGCTGGGCCATGCCCTGGGGTCCCAGCTGGGTCAGACGTAAATCCATGCAGAAGATCTAGGGTGCTGGAGAAGCCATCAGTCAGCAGGGGGACGTGGAGGAGACTTGAGGTACAAGAATATTTAACCATTTGAAGAACTAGCACAGCCATACTGCAGCATGCTAGCAGGAAAGCAGCTCTGAACAAAACCCTTTGTGCTCCCCAAAACAACATTGTAGGAAAGGGGCAGGCAGAGTCTATGCCTTGTCTAGTTCCTGGCACATAGTAGATGCTTGATAAATATTTACTGAAAGAAATTAATAAATGAATGTGTCACCAAACCATGTGTCAGAAAAATCCTCCCTATGTGCTAAAATAAGAATTGATTTTCTTGAGAACCTTCTAGTGTTTTGCAGGGTTTGGGATTGTTTGTATCTTATCTGATTTTCACAACATGAAAGGCAGGGGCAGGAAAGGAAAAGCAATGTGTTCTTATTAGAGGGAAGAGAATATTTCTTCCTTTAAATAAAACCAGAGAGAATTGTTGAATCTCCTGGTTCTTCCCCTTTTGTTGTCTATCTTATAAAATAATTTATGCAGGATAAAAATCAATAGTCTTCACAAAAGCAGCTGGTTCCGTGATTTAAAGGGACATACATTAGATGATTTGAAGTTGTTCGTGATAGAGAATTATAAGGGAATATACTTTGTTTTCTGTTGAGAACACATGAATAGAAAATGATAACAATCATTTTCCAGCCACAGGCCCTATATCAGGATGAAACATAGTGTTTGTGCTTTAAGGTAAAACGTCTCCCAGAGGAGATGGTAGTGCTGTGTCAGCTGGCATGGCCACCCAGCAGTGTCTGTTCTGTAATGGATATAATTTTTGCTGTGGCCTTTGAATACCAAATAAAAAAGTACATGTCCTAAGAGCTTTCAGCAGTGGGTAGTTCTGACGAGCTTGCTTAGGAAGCGCTAGACAGTGTGCTGTGTTGATGGAATATAAATAAGTTTCCAGGGAGTTTGTTTATTTGGCTTACCTTGCTCCTTCCTAAAACAAATTCGGAATGACTTCTCAAGCAATGAATAATAATATTAGTAAAGTGGACCTAGAAATTGAAAATCAGGGCTGGGCATGGTGGCTCATACCTATAATCTCAGAACTTTGGAAGGCTGAGGTGGGCGAATCACTTGAGGTAAGGAGTTCTAGACCGACCTGGCCAACATGGTGAAACCCTGTGTCTACTGAAAATACAAAAATTAGCTGGGCATGGTGGCACATGCCTGTAACCCCAGTTACCCAGGAGGTTGAGGCAGGAGAATCGCTTGAACCTGGGAGATGAAGGTTGCAGGGAGCTAAGATTGTGCCATTGCACTCCAGCCTGGGCAACGGAGTGCGACTTTGTCTCAAAAAAAAAAAAAAAAAGAAAAGAAAAGAAAAGGAAAGAAAAGAAATTAGGACCATGGGAAAGAAGAGAATGCCAAACTACTATCCATAAGTGTTAAATTAGATCTTTTGACTGATTTTACATGGAACTTCCTGGTAGCTGCATCAGAAAGGAAAACATGGTAAGGTACATAACTCATACATGATAAGGTACATCTGTCTTTGGAAAAGAGAGAGCACGCCAGTTTCTCAAAGGAGGCAAAGCTTTTCTGAAAGATTGCAGTTTTACTTCTTTGTTGTTCTGGAGCTGGTGACTCAATTTTGATCATTCAGTTTGCGTACTTCTTTTCCTTGTTCTTTACCTGTTAAAGCTACTTTTTTGCTTCATAGTCTCTGCACTGCTTACTAGTGCATCAGGTGATACAGAGAAGGGAAAGCAGGTAAGTGCAAAAGTCTGTTTTTTAGCCAGTTACAGGTCTGGTTAAGGTCATACATGATACATCATTTAACTAACTTCGTGTCATCTATTGACTGAATAAATATTTTCCAAGACAACAGAAGAGAGAATTATTTATATTTTTAAAAATCCTTGTGACTTCATGTAAAGCTCATCTAGCTTTGCACTGGGCTGGGGATTGGAGCCCCTATGTAGTAGGTCAGTGTTAAAAAGTGAAAGTTCTATGCTTGGTCTGAAAGTGAGCATATATTAACCCATACATTGGACAAAGGCTGAGTTTCTTTTATTCCTCTGGTTTCCAAGCCTGGAGGAGCTTTAGAATCACCCAGGAAGCTTTTTAAAAATACAGACCACCAGGCCCCATCCTACACTGACTGGATTAGATTCTCAGGTGGTGAGGCCCTGGGATATGGGTTTTATTTGTTGTTTTGGCATTAAGCTCCCTTGGTTTTTCTGATAATCAGCCTGGCTTTGGAATTAGTATCTATCTATCTGCAAAGGGAAAAAACAAGTCCCTCCTCTGCACTGTCCTGGCACTGTCAGCTGCCCTAGAGTCATCCCTCTGCCGGAGAGAAGCTTCCTGAATAGTGATTGGGATGGGGGGTTGGGGGCGGGGGAGGTGCAGGGTCACCAGATGGATTCTACATTGTCCAGTCTACAACAGGTAAACAAATAAGCCAGGTGCCACTTTGGAAGATAAATAATTGTCCTCCAAGAAATAGACAGCAACAGCCCAGTGAAATTTCTAAGGAAAGCGAGAAAGGAGAAATTAAATATAACCTCATTTGGTCACAGGAAATACTAAACACACAAAACTCAAAGGGAAGATCCCCGCCCACTCTCTCTCTCTATATTTGCCTGTAGCTATTCCCAGGTATAATAATAACAGCATCGCTGACACTGAGAAGGTGTCATGTATTAGGTTCTATGCTAAACCCTTCCATTGTATATACATACCACATTTGTTTCCATGTGTAGGTAACCTATACACAGTCATGTAAAGTAGATATTGTAATTTTCATTGCCAATAAATTAACAGGCCTAGAGAACTTATGTGACTTATACAGAGACACAGTCTAGCAAAGAGTGGGGCTAGGTCTGAGACCCAGATCTAAGTAACCCTTGAGAAAAATAAATTTTTGCTTTTGAATATGTGTTTCCATTAACTACTACGTTTTTCCTTAAAAGCATCAACCCACACATCTGTTTGATCCAATTCTGCTCCGTACCTGGGTTGAAAGAAGGGCATCCATCTATTCATCTATTTATGGACATCAGACATTCATGTAAAGCTTGTTCTGTGGTAGGCCCTGGAAAGACAAAGATAAACAAGGACCCAGCACTCAGGAGGCTCGTGGCGTGGAGCAAGCAGAGCATGGAATGGGCTGATTGGTCAGGCTTGGGATGTGGTCCATCACTGGAGCCAAAATATCAAGGTTCTGTTATTGAAGAAGGAGGATGCTGGTCAGGGAAAAGACACAGGTGCCCTTTGCAGGTCCCTGCCTTCAAGGAGCTTAAAGTCCAAAGGGAGAAGTTTAGATAAAAACTAGTTACAGACGGTCTTGCATGGCCCCAAGGAAGGTAACAGTGCTATTGGCACTTACAGCACCTGAACTATTCCAAGGCCTGAGAAGGTAGCTCTGTGAAAGTGATGTGTGCATTGAGGTCTGATGAGTGCATATGACTTACCTTCATGTCCTCGTTTGTATACATGTAATGTATATCTAATAATAATCAGTAAGAACTTTCATTCCACAGGGAAAAGTTTTTGCTTGCATATGGTTTTCTTTTTTAATAGCTGTATAATATACTACAGTGTTTTGTATAGTAATTCTATCCTGTTGTCCAGTTAAATCTTTACTTTCTCTTCTCATTAAATGTTCATCAGCAAACATATTTGTGCATAAGTTGTTTTCCTGTTGAAGAAAATGCAAGAAATGAGCTGGGTGCGGTGGCTCACGCCTATAATCCCAGCACTTTGGGAGGCCGAGGTGGGTAGATCACGAGGTCAAGAGATCGAGACCATCCTGGTCAACAAGGTGAAACCCTGTCTCTACTAAAAATACAAAAATTAACTGGGCATGGTGGTGCACGCCTGTAATCCCAGCTACTTGGGAGGCTGAGGCCGGAGAATTGCTTGAACCCAGGAGGCGGAGGTTGTGGTGAGCCGAGATCATGCCATTGTACTCCAGTCTGGGTAACAACAGCGAAACTCTGTCTCAAAGAAAAAGAAAAAAAGAAAATGCAAGAAATCAAAGAATATGCCTACTTGGTCATTGTATTGCTTTCTAAAAGCAGGAATTACTTTTCCTTCACATCCTCTTCCTACATCCCCTTCTTGGTTATCTTCATGCATTTTATCAACAGCCCTTTTTACTTCCTTGTGGCTTACCTCTGTGTACCAGGTTTCCTGATATTTGTGTTAATCTTTGTATCTAGATGTCTTCAGATTTCTCATAATGAGCACTTAGAAATGCCTTCTTTTAAAATACCTACTTAGTTTACTTTGAGTTTCTAGCACATCGATGTTGTGGCAGTGACTGTTATCATAACATCTGTTCTCTTTTTTATTCAAACTCAAGTTTTATTTGGGCACATGGCCATTCAGAAGAAAGATTATATTTCCTCTTTTGGAGGTGATGGATATGTTCATTATTTTAGTTATGTGATGGTT